TCAATAGTTGATGCGTTGAGCTCGTTTTCAAAGGCTACATACGGTCTTATGCACAAGGTCAATCTGGCTATTTTTGGGTCCACGAGTTAGAAAAGGCCAATCATTTACTAAATAAATGTTAGAAAACAAAAAATAAATGTTTAATAAAAGAAAGAATACTTTCTGTTAAAGATATAATAGGCTTCGAGGCCCACAAAGGATAGTAGTGAGCTGGCAAGACAGGAAATAGGTGAAGGTAGCTGTCGTCCGAGGGCGGCAGCGCGTGAGGACGTCGCGGCATTTGCGGCAAGACTGGCCATAATGCATAAACTTGTACAATAAAGATAGAAACATCTGAAGAAAAAGATTCTGACCGATTTAAATAGATATGTATAATGCGTTGTTCAATAAAGTTTTATGAAATGTTGATTGACGAGGTTGATATTAAAAGTTGCGCGTTTGCTTGCAATTACCGACTATGTATGAAATCTACGTTAACAGCATATTTAGTATTATATAAATCATGACGATTATTCGAAGTTAACGTTAAATAAGTATGTAGAAAAGATATATCTTTAGCAATCTTTTGATTCAATAATAAAACCTGAAATAGCAAACATTAAAAATGCATGTACTTATAAAAACCAAGCAATTAGTAATTTTCTAGAATTAAAGCCAATTTTACTCGGAATATTAAAGACAATTAGATAAGTAAATTCATTTAATATTATTCAAATTAAAATAATTCGGATTTAATTTTTTAACATATGGCGCTAATACATGTATAAAACCGGCGCGTTTATAAATTATTACTCCTACTTTATTAATACATTTTCAAAATAATTTAGCCGTTTTATATTTATTTATAAATCAAACACTAATAGAATAAAAATAATTTAATATGCAATAAGTAACTGAACTGGAAGAATATTATTATACAACAGTAATAATTATCTTTATTAATACGTTCCTCATAATCTATAGACAAGCCAGTAGCTTATAATACCCAAACCTATTGCAGATCCATGCGATTCCTGCACTGCAAAACATCTATACCAGGACCCATATGTATGGCCAATTATATAAGATAAAATAGTGGATTCAGAGGGAACTTGGCCAGACCTTAAAAATGTCAAGCCAAGCATTCTTCTCAATGCAACCATCAGCATTAATATAATATTGACACCATACTCGAGTATTATAATTCAAATCCTTCAAGATCCCTATTCAAAAAAAGTATTACCCTAAACCCTAACCCTAACCCTAACCCTAACCCTAACCCTAACCCTAACCCTAACCCTAACCCTAACCCTAACCCTAACCCTAACCCTAACCCTAACCCTAACCCTAACCCTAACCCTAACCCTAACCCTAACCCTAACCCTAACCCTAACCCTAACCCTAACCCTAACCCTAACCCTAACCCTAACCCTAACCCTAACCCTAGGGTGTAGAAAGACAAGCACAAAGAAAGAGACATACTAGCACAAGTCATGTGTCATGGTGTATCCATGACATACCTTGTGAAACTAGGAATATCTTGTGTATACACAAACATGAGAATGGATTATCAAGCTCTCTTGCCTCTGCTATGCCGCGAACTTGAGGAGAATATGCAGCTTTGACTCTCAGACTGGGGGAGTTCAGTAGCCCGATGCTTGGTAATCCGGGGGGTTATCCCTCCGGGTTGGTAAGCAGCGGGGTATTAGACTATCCGAGCTGAGTCATTCAAGGCGGTATTAGAAATCAAGTTCTAAAAGCCGAAGCGCGATATCTCTTATCTCCATGTATGTACCTTTCTTCTGATAATATATATCAAAAGAATTTCGCTATACAGAGTCCCTGAAGAGCCATAGGCGAAACTACTGTCACGACAGTAGTTGGACTCCTTTGCTCTCAGAATTCAACGCTGCTCACTCGCGCTTCGCGCTCGTTTCTAACCCTAACCCTAACCCTAAGCTTTGCGGCAGGCCCCCTGGCGTTAAATGCTACTACTACTATTACTACAACCTCTTAACGAACGTTACATATAGGTGCAAGCACAGCTTGAAGCCATGCCTACATTTAAGCCCATGCTTATGTTTGCCTAAAAAAGTACTCTGTACCCGATAGAGGCGGCCCTCGATGGGGTTAGATGACGGGACGGCGATCAGGGGAGGAAGAAGAGGAGGCCAGAGCCATGGATATCGGCATGACCGAACGTAGAATTGGCTTGCAAGAATGAATCAGTAAAATATCAGTTCGCAGCCTTTCTTATATTTCTCGTCAAGACCGCGCCAATTCGTTGCGCCTTGCGCAGTTACAATGGTTTTCACCCCCAAGCTGCATACGATCGAGTTGTGACTGCCTTCACCGCGAGCATCCTCTTTTACAATATTCGGTCTTCTCTCGACATTCATCACCTATACCCTTATCATCGTCATATCCAGCACCCTCGATCATGTCATGGCTTTTGTACGATGGACTAATTACCAAGTTTCAGTCGCAGCATCAAGGATGTAGTGTTGCCTACGATCGGATCATAAGATCAAGTCGACGCGGCGCGAGACCCAACGGAACGTATCACACCCACGGCAGATGCTCGACGTCTACTACCCCGAGACAGCACCAACAGTGCCGTTCGTCGCCAAGCCTGTCCTGGCCTTCTTCTATGGGGGTCTCTTCGTCGGCGGTGAGAGAGTCAACGGGTCATATGCCAGTGGACTGACCTTTGGCAAGATCGGTCACTGCTTCGCGTCCCACTGCGGCTTCACGGTGTCGTGCCGGACTATCGCCTAATCTCTGTTACGGTCGCACAGTGGGTCGCTGTGCGGAGTAATGCATATAGTACAGAAATAGGAGTCAATGGCCATTCGGGTCATTGTTGAAGCTTTTACCTCATGGCGCAACGGTTGTCCTATACGCGTTGTAACAATCTCCCATGGAGCAAGATTCCCGTCCGGCGGCGAGGATGTGAAGCAGGTTGTTGAATGAATCGAGGAGAGTCTGCCACGGCAGAAGACTACTCCTCGATTGACCTGTTCCAGATGGGGAAACTAGGCGGGCGGTGTCTACGTCGGTACATACCTCTTGGATACCAGTTTCACGAAAGCCAGAAAAACCGTTGTGGCTGAAGAGTGGAAGCGCAGTGGTGCCCTGCTTAGGGGTGTGCTATTCTTCGGGACGCCGATGCAATTGGGCAAGGAAGACAACGAGATCCTGAAAGGCTATCTTGGGGAGGGTAAGATCTATACAAATTGTGCCATAGGACTGTTACGAACCAACGAGGCGTACAGGGAATGAGGCCCGCTGGCAGGCCCAACAAGATGGACAGCAACTGGAAGAACCCGGGAGAACGCACGAGCCAACGGAAACGTCTAGGTCACGTGATTAAGACATCACGTGATGGATAGCTTGGATAGCGAGGTTATCCAACATATCCACCCCATCAGTGAGGGAGAGATTGGATATATAAGGATGGACATTTCCTAGCTAGACAGATAGACAGTCTCTACCTCAGTGATCAATCTAAGCATCTTAGCCAACACTAAGGTGGGAGAAATCTCCTGACGACTCGACTACACAGTGAACCCAGTTCAGACCAAGCCCCAGCATCTGAGTGTCTTCTAGTTGACAGAAACCTCTATCGTCTTTTGTGTTGACTTGCCTCAAAACATAAACCCTATAGAACCCTTTAGCCTCATAGGTTAGACGGCTCGTCACAAGGACAGCTTGAGGTTTTGAACAAGAAGGCTCCGGCCTCAAGCTTCCTGGTGTAATGGTGACCAATTTGGTTGAGCGAGTTGGATTCCGAGTTCATTTTTGATTGACGGAAGAGTTTCGGTCGGCGTGGCCTAGCGCTGAGATCGATGCTCATGTCTTCAAGGGCCACAGTGTCCATTCAAATAATATCGTCCCACAAGTGGTGTTCGGCCTCGTCGATTGGGCATTCGCACTTGGTGTGTGCCACGATATGGACGCATGTGCCGTCCGGGCAATTGCGCTGACAATCCTCGGGAGAATTGTAATAGTCGTCGCAGCCCCTATAGCCCCATTAGTTGGCAATCTTCTTGTCTTTTTAGATGGACTGTTAACAGGCAAGATGGCAGGTTCGGGCCTTGTTCTTGGTAAAGAGGTGTGGACCCAACACGCAACTTACCGTTTGGCAAGGGGGTTGACTTGGCTAACATCTCCACGCCTCGCGTTCGCGCTAGGAACTGCGCAAACAGTCGAAATGAGGCCCATGGACAAGGCGATGGCGGCTAGAGTGAATTGCATCTTAATCTAGAAGGTATGTATAATATGTTTGACTGGCTGAATTGAGATGCGGAGGTTTATAGCTATAAAATTGATCGTGCTAAGAGTTTGAGATGGGATAAAGTGATATGTTCTGGGCAGCAATTTAAAACGAGCGCTTGAGGTTTCTTTTATAGACGATGGGAATATATCGGACGAAAAGTTCCATGAGAAGTTCCATGAAAAGTTCCATGAAAAGTTCCATGAAAAGTTCCATGAGAAGTTCCATGAGAAGTTCCATGAGAAGTTCCATGAAAAGTTCCATGAGAAGTTCCATGAAAAGTTCCATGAAAAGTTCCATGAGAAGTTCCATAAGAAGTTCCAGGAAAAGTTCCATGAGAAGTTCCATAAGAAGTCCCATGAGAAGAACACTTGCGCACTGGTCGGAATCAACCGTGCACCCTGTTGCGTGGTCACGTGACCCACTTGGGCTGGCATATTGCCCACATCTACTGCAGCTGCGCACCACCTCCAGACCTTCCACAACAACAACACCAATACAGCAGATATGCAACCTTTTGGCCTTCTTTTTGTGCAACACAACCCATCCTCTACGCCGTTCTCAGCCCATTCGGCCATCTCAGACTCTCTCGATGCCGGCGTCCCGGCTGCCAAGATCGTATTGGGCATGCCCTTATACGGGCGCTCGTTCGAAAGCACGGGAGGCATCGGGCTAGCCTACAATGGCATCGGCCAAGGATCTTGGTAACCTGGATTCTGGGATTACAAGGTTCTACCGCGCCCAGCAGCAGTAGAGCAGTATGATGTCGAAGCCGCCGCTACCTACAGTTATGACATTGAATCCCAGGAATTGGTCTCATATGATACCGTTTACATGATCAAGACTAAGATCAAGTATCTGCAGGCTAGAGGCTTGGCAGGAACCATGTTCTGGGAGGCCTTAGGAGATCGTGCCAACATCGGGTCATTGATTGTGGCATCATTTATTTGAGTCACAGGGTGGAGAGAATCGCTTGGATAGGAGTCCCAATTGTCTCCGCTACCCAAACTCCCGCTATGATAATAACCGGGACAATGCGACATAGACTGTGTGAGGGCGCCTACCAGCTGCAACTCGCTAGGCTCTGCACATCCTCGCTGACATTGGATTAAGTCCGTGGTCGTCCTATATATGGGAGACCATCTTCTCGGCCGGCTGAGGTTCCAGGTTTCCCGGCTCACGTTCCAGGGCCCCCGGCTCAGGGTCTAGGTCCTTAGCGCAGCTTGATCACTTAACAAGCCACTGATTTTCTCTATGTTAGCTTCCGTTTGATTATTGAGTCTCTTATACAAGGGATGGTTTGCTCACTAATCAATATATCTTTCATATTTCGGAAGGGAGGTATTATCTTAAAAACAGGTGGGTGACGCATAGCGGCTAACGTCGCCTAACATTCACTCGTAGCCTTAGACCATGTCATAAGGTGCTGTAAACTAAAAATGCAAGCCGGCGTATATGTTCTCCCGAAGTTGACATCGCAACTGTGGAGAGGCTGCGAATTAATCCAGATCACAATGCTCAAGCTTAGGGTCGGATTCTGATGTTGTAAGTTGATTGATTGTTTGAGACCTGGCTAGCCGCGAGGCCCCAGTCGAGTAGCTGTACTTGCTCATATAATCTGTTGGATATCATACCAGGCTGAGGCTTTCGGGGCTGAATGCGCTAATGGGTTTAGCCTCAGGGCAGTCAGCCCACCCTCAGGCCACCAGGATCCTGGCGCCATTATCGTATGATTATCTGGTCACCCTGATGGCACACCTGTACATATGGGGGCTTCTCCCCCAGAGATCTTCTTCTCTTTCCTTTCAATACAGAACGGTTTGAAATCTCACATAATCGTCCCTCATGCTTATATAATGATACACGTGGAATGGGAACCGTGCACATCCAACGGCAAGAGTTTTAACTGGTAATCTATTAAAGGACGGAAATTCCAGCTACTCTAGGGTCGCTAGGATGGCCCTGTATATATGTGAAACACTGCAGGAATGAATTGTTACGAACTAACGAAACATACAGGGAGATGAGGCCTGCTGGCAGGCCCAACAGGACGGACAGTAACCGGGAGAACGCACGGACCACCCGGGTAGTACAGGTCACGTGATCAAGACATCACGGGACGGATAGCTTGGATAGCAAGGTTATCCAACAAATCCAGGATAACTTGGATAGCGAGGTTATCCAACATATCCACCTCATCAGTGAGGGAGAGATTGGATATATAAGGATGGACATTTCCTAGCTAGAACAGATAGACAGTCTCTACCTCAGTGATCAATCTAAGCATCTTAGCCAACACTAAGGTGGGAGAAATCTCCTGACGACTCGACTACACAGTGAACCCAGTTCAGACCAAGCCCCAGCATCTGAGTGTCTTCTAGTTGACAGAAACCTCTATCGTCTTTTGTGTTGACTTGCCTCAGAACATAAACCTTATAGAACCCTAGGCATTATTCCCAAATCGGTTCTACTAGAGCCGATTTGGTTCCCGGGCGAAAATACGGTCGGCGTTGACGGGTATATGGAGAAGGCGAGACGGTGAATCCGGCCGTGCTGTCTGCATGTCGCTGCGACCGCTGGAAGGCCACTTTCTCTGCGAGTTGGGGTTAGGGGGAAGTTTGGGGTTAGGGTGGGAAGCGGGCGGGATGCCGGGCGGGCGGGGCCCGGGCTCGACAAGGGGTCAGACGCCAGGTAAATCATAGACACGACTCGTTGTTTGTTTTCTCTTTCTTATCTCTTCTCCTCCCACGTATACAACGACTTCGCTATGACTCCGTTTATCTATATCTCACAATGGAAGATTGTCATCTGTTTAGAATGAACTAGCGGCGCTGACGGGGCAACATATCGGGGTGGAGCTGACGGTGGCAGACTATCGACACGTGACGATCGAGCTGGGGCGGAAGATCCGGGGTCTGGTGGTACGACAACTCGAGGTGGATATCGGGACAGCCGAACAGGACGACATTGGAGGCGGCGGGGGGCCGGGACGTGAAGATCCGGTTACGGGCGAGACGCGGGAGCAACAGAAAACGGAGTCCATCTGGGATCTGCAGGCAACGCACAGCAGCGCGATAGCACGGCAGCATTACGCGCTCAACGTACGATTCCCAGGGCAGCTGCAGCCGCAGATGATAGCAAACTACCGGGAGATCAGCCGGTTATGGCACGGGTACTTGCAGCCGAGCGGCGGCGATGATCAGGATCGAGACGATGATCACAAGAGCGCCAGTAAGGACAAGAAGAGACAAGCCGAGGCGGCAGACGGGGGCAGGGGTAAGGACAAGGACAGGAATAGCAGAGGCGGCAAAAAAAGGAAGGTGGGCGGCGGCAGACCCAGCCCGAGGGCTACGGAGGTGGTTCCGGCAAGCGATGGTGGCGGAGGACGCGGCGATGGTACGGGCGGCGACGGTCAAGCGGAATACCCGGTACGGGGTGGCAGAGGTCAAGGCGGGCAAGGGCATGGTGGAGGAAGAGGTGGTCCGGACGGTCGTGCGGATAGAGAAAGGGATGTGTACGGGGCAGAAAGGAGTGGTATACTGCTGGTCAAAAAACAAATGCAAGGCGCTAACAGAGAAGTTAGGGTGTGTATTCTATCACAGCGACATGGCCAACAAGGCATAAAAAACAGTGCTAAAAAGGTGGGCAGAAGGAAAAGGAGAGACGCGGTGAGTAGTGGTGACGACAGGGCTCGGGACAGGGGTAGACATTCAGGGGCTCGTGGCAGTGATACATGCGGAGCAGCCGTACGGGCTGGTGGACTTTGTGCAGCAGACGGGGCGAGGCGGGCGGCGGGCGGACGAGGTGGTCGAGTCGGTCATCGTGACGGACGGACGGGCGGGGAGGCACGACGAACAGGGCAATGACGTGGAGCAGCTCAACCGGCAGGCGATGGCGTGGTTCGTGCAAGGGGCGGACTGCCGGCAGGTGGTGCTGGGGGTTTTCATGGACGGGGTGGGAAAAGAGTGTGAGGAGGTGGGTGGCGAGTGGTGTGACCGCTGTCGGCAGCGCACCGGCGGCGGCAGCAGCAGCAGCAGCGGCAGCCGGGATATCTCTCAAGGAAGGGGGGAGACGGAAGGAGAGACGGAAGGCGAGCCGGAAGGGGAGCCGGAAGGGGAGCCGGAAAGGGAGCCGGCGAACCGGCTTAAGGAGCACCGAAAAGAACAATATCGAGAGATTCAGCAGCTACACAGATGGCTACAAGAGGTAGAGGGCAAGTGTGGGGTGTGCTACATCAAGTGGCATTATCACGGACAGCAGGAAGAGCAGCGACAACAGTACGAGCATACGGCGAGACAATGCCGTACAATGCCGATCAAAGACTACGTGGCATGGCGACGGAAGGTGCGATTCAAGGAGTATAGCTGTTCTGGAAGTGTGGGCTTCCGCAAAGGTGGTGTGAAGCGACGATGGCAAGGAAGGGGAGTAGAAGTAGAGAGAGAGAAAGGGAAGAAGAAATCAACAGGGGGGAGCAGGTGGTAGAATACAGGTGGATGGATCAGGTGTTACGTGTGACATTGATGGCAAGGAGCAGTAAGACGGTAGCAAGGATGATAGAAGAGAAGTTGGGGATGGAGATGGGAAAAGAGGATGAGTACGCGCGATGGGTAGGGCGGTCACGACGGGTATACGAAGAGGAGGCAACGAATGGGGTGGCGGTGTGGGCTTGTGTGGTAAATGAGGTGTTCTTTTCGTACAAAGAATAATGATGGTCAAGGTTGGACAGAGTACATAGCAGTCGTTTATTATTTTTAATTGTGAAGAAGTAGAAATTCAATAAGGCGAGGAGGGGATTAAGGACGGGACAAGGCTATAAAAAACTGTAAAGGTAATAAAGATGGTGCAGGCGACAGAGGCAAGCAGCAAATGTTATCAAGGCATACGGCGGACTAGCAAAAGATGAACAGGAAGGTGTAAAAGCAAGTTTAAAGAAAAAACGAAAAAGGTTAAAAGATAAATGATAAGGTAGTAGAGTATGCTTGAAAAGCGGCAAAAAATGCACAGCATCGGCAATTGGATAAGACTATATGGAGAATAAATGAAAAACGCACGATATTATGGCGTAGAAGACATAAATAATTACTTAAAGCACATATATTTAAAACTGTTAATAAGAATTGAAAGACTCGTACTATAGTGAAGACTATATGGATAAAAACAAGTTTTAAATTTGATATAAACGTGCTTACTAACAAATCAATTTATGTTATATTACGGCATTAAATGGAATACTTGTTATTTTAATACGAGTAATTACATATAATTTATATGGGATGTTTCAGTCTATATGTCTAAAAAAGATGTCATATTTTATGTCTTGAAAATTTAAATTTAAAAGTAAAAAGGCGATTCATAATACTTGCTACGGACTTCTCTTGAGATCATAGTAAAACTTAATAAGCAAAAATACCATAATAATATTAAGCGGGTACGAAATGAGTATAAGCCAGTCAATAGACTAAAAGTCGTGCATAATATAAAAAACGAATTGCGTGATAATAAGCAAAAAGAATAAAAGGTTACAAAATAAAAAGAAATACAAAATGAAAGGAGAATTGTTTGTTTGTTTGTTTGTTTTGTATTTAACGTGGGGGGTAGCTCCTTAGTAGTGCAAACCACGCCTCCCAGAGCCTCTGTATCGCAGGGTTGTAAAGGTCTCAAGATAATA